GGGGGGGGGGGGGGGGGGGGGGGGGGGGGGGGGGGGGGGGGGGGGGGGGGGGGGGGGGGGGGGGGGGGGGGGGGGGGGGGGGGGGGGGGGGGGGTGAGCTTCTGGGGATTATGCCTTTTGATGCCTCTGAATGTAACCTAGATTTTGTTTGTTAATGATGATTTGAAAACATTGAAACGAGTTGGGTGTGTTGGGTTCGAAACGTTTAAAAGAAAGAAAATGCTGTTTTGCCTGATTGTTCAGGTGGGTTTGTTTTGAAGGCTCTCATAAGCTCTGATCTTGCTGCACAATGGAGTCGTGGAACTATGGTTCTCAAGGGAAGGGATTTTTGTCTGATGAGATGAATTCATCTACTAATTCACTCCTGAAAAGTAAATATTCTTTGTTGGGTTGGGAATTCAAGATCCCATGTAGTTTTGGGGACAACATACTTCTTTCAGGTGGTGCTCAGCATGTGGAGAACCAGAGCTTTGGGGAACTAGAATTTCCCTTAATGGTTGGGAAACAATTACCTGATGATTCTTTCAGTGATGTCCTGAATACCAAAATTGATGGAGGGAGAAGCTTGAATCTTGTTTTGCCCACCTCTCATCCACTTCCTGGAGAAGAGGAGTCCACTTCAAAGCTTTCTGGTTCCATTGTTGACTCTAACAATCGAGATTCATCTCTTATTGATTTGAAGTTGGGCAGATTTATTGATACAGGGGATGCTCACACTTTCAAGTACTCCAAGAGAGCTGCAATTTCATCTTCCACTGAGTCATCAACTTCTTATAAGAAAATGAGATCTCAAGGGGTGAATTTCCTGACTCCGTTTTGCCAAGTTTATGGGTGTAACAAGGATCTCAGCTCCTCTAAAGACTACCACAAGAGGCATAAGGTTTGTGAGGTTCATTCAAAGACTTCCAAAGTTATTGTGAATGGCATAGAACAGAGGTTTTGTCAGCAATGTAGCAGGTTGGTTATGTTTTCACTCATTTTCTCACCTCAAATCATGATTCTGTTCTTCAACAGCCTTTTTGGTCTTTCTTGTGAAATCGTGAGAAGGGAGTGAGCACTTTGCTTATCTTTATTTCAACTGTGACTCTAGAAATTGCTCTTTTTCATTATGATGAGCTTATCATCAATCCGGACATGTATTACCCTGTTTGAACCTGACTTGGGTACTTTGATTAAGGACTTGTTCTTACTTTCAGGTTTCATTTGCTTTCTGAATTTGATGATGGTAAACGCAGCTGTCGTAAACGGCTTGCAGGCCACAATGAACGCAGAAGAAAGCCTCAAGTCAGTTTTCACTCAGGAAGGGCACAGAGGTTGCTTCAGCCATATAATGGTATTATAGCATATCTCATTTCATTTCTCTATATCCTTCAACTCTCCATCTTTCCATCTCACTATCTCTGACTCTCTCTCAAGATTTTTTTTTTTCTTGTTTTATTTAATCTTGAAAGGGTTGGTTTGATCATTATTAGGTCATTCAATATTTTCATCTTCTTTTTTACACAATTTGTACTATGAAGCTCTCCAATATTGTTTCCATCTTTAGAGAATGATTAAACGTCAATGTTAGGCCGAGTTGAAATGGTAGAATTATGAAGCTTTTAAGCTTTGATCCCTTCCTTCCAACCCTTCAAGTGAACCCTTTTTTGGGAAATGAGGAAGTGAATTAAATTGTGATAGTTCTGTTCTAACTGTCATTGCTTGTTTATTGCTTCATTTGGATCGTACAAGCCAACAACCACATCTAAAAAGTGAAAGTGTTGCAGCTGTTTATTGCTTCATTTGGATCCTTTATTTAGACGAGTGTGAACTTAATTACATCTGATACTGCCTCTTACCAAGTTTTAATCAAGCTTTCATTTCATTTTATTTTGGGTACTCATCTTGAAGCATATCTGTGATGGTGAAAAATAGAATACATGGAATGTTACTTACTGGGTTTGTCAAGATCAAACTCAGAAAAAGATGGACAAGTCTCTAAGATTGTTTTTCTTAGAAATCATGCGTCCATTTGGTGAATACTAAACTCGGGTTCGATTTCAATGCAACCGTTAAAAACTGACAAACTAACCATTTTGCTACTCTTCCTTCAGGCTTAATTGGCTGCCACTAGCATTTTAGTTGTTTTAAAGGTCCAAAAGTTTTACAGTATTTGAGAACCATATTAACTGTGTGGCAATATCTTAAATATTTCAAGTTGTTTGACACGAAAGTTCAAAGTCAAAGATTCCTGACAGCCATCCATCCTCAAAGTGTGCTTGCTTGATTGCTTGGCTGTTTTAATGTATTTAACATCTAGTTGAGCAGTTTCATTTGTTTGTTTTGGGTATTCTGCATGTATCTTTGAATCTGATTATGCTGTTTTTAGTATCTTTTAAAATCTTCATCAATATCACGGCTTTATCTTATATGCACTAAGCATACCAAATTCCTTTATATTTTCAATATAATGTGTTGTCTTTCGGCCCATGTTGTTATCTAGCCACTTCAACATTGTTAATGTTCACACCCACTGATTGAAAATTTCAGGTAATGGAGACGGAAGATTTCAGGAGAAAGCATTGGCTGCAACTTCATTTATCTGCAAAGATATACTGTCTAGTGGTGTTTATTATCCAGAGAAGCTTGGAAAAAATGATTGGTGTAAGCGTATAAAAGTGGAGGGCAAGAATGATTACAATTCTATGTGTGCAACTTCAGTGGGGGACAGGCTTCTGAATATGAAATCTCCCTTGCTTCCCTATGATGTTGAAGTACAGATACCTTGTTTTCAAGGAAATGGAAGTAATGCAGCAGCTACAGAAAACATGTCATGCGACACAAGTTGCCAATATTCTCATAACGTGGGAGGCCTCCATATGGACACACACCCATTGTTCCACCACACTAACCTATCAAGCGAAAACTTTGGAGTTTATGATGCAGCATCAACCATCCAAGGAGTTTCTGGAAATCCGGATTATGGGTGTGCTCTCTCTCTTCTGTCATCACATTCACAAAATGCATCGACTCATCCATCCATAGTTCACGTGCCTCGTGCTTTCACCATGTCCGAGAGTAGATCGAATTACAGCATGAGTGAACTCTCTGAAAAGCTCATGGGAGTGAGCTCACAGGCTTCTTCAACTGGGATTTCAAGCAAGTTTGCCTCCGGCATGAGTGAAGCTCAAATGTTTCCCATAATGACAGGTGAAAGCAGTGATCGTAGTGTCACCTTTCAGATCACTGATGGGGTTCTTCATAGATCAGGTTTGGGTAATGCCAAGGCTAATGTTGCCTATGAACACACTCCAACTATGGACTTGCTACAACTTTCATCACAGCTCCATCGAGTGGAACATCAAAGGCACTCCATGCAGGTAAATAAATAAGAACATATTTTTAGCATCTATATATCGACTCGAAAACAAAGCTAAGCACATCAAAAGGGTAGACTAGCAACCCTTTAGGTTTTCCCTATAATGGCTTACATAGAAAAGCAGTTCCATCAATGCAACTGGGAGAATGCTACAAGAAATCTGCTAAGATCAAAATTGCTAATTCTATGTTGTCGCGATTGTTTTGCCTGTAGCATGACACTGCTTCTTTATGACCAACTCATGTCCATGGAGGACTTTGTAAGTGATCCGATGTTGTCTAGGAATTGTCTTTAGGTTCATTATCATGATCCTTATTTATCAACTAAATAGAGAGAATGTCTACCCCCACCCTTCTCTTCATGAAAATGAATTATGCAAGATTCCTAATTGAAGAAAAGAAATCTAAGCACTCGTTTTACTTTTCGCGTCATTATACTTTATATTACGTCTAATTGTTTATAGTTTCGACTGAAACCGAACCCGTTTCTAAAACAGGACTCTGTGTAGGAGACTTCATGAAGGCTGTGGAGGAGTAGAACCCATCAATCCTATGTCAATGGTACATTTTGTTAGTCGAGGAGAGAACAAACTGTCGTATAATCTTCCTGTCTCGTACCTCTAACCTTGTTTTCTTTCCTAGTTCGATTGTTTCTATAATACCAATGCTTTCATCTTGGGACTAACTACTCGAATCCCAAAAAAATCGTCGTAAAATTAGTTCGTACATGAGATGCTACATTTGTGCTATTTAGATGTCTCATTGCATGCATATTCTGTTGCTTTCATCCTATCCATTTGGGAAAGAATCAATATTCTTGTCAAGAAGCAAATCAATATATTACAACACACAAACAAACCAAGTTCACAAAATGAAGGCCATCATAAAGTCAGCAATGCTTCAAAAGGCAAAGGTGAAGAAAACTTGATCTAAAAATGTGAAGAAAACCAAACAAAAGAGACCAATCTCTAAGAAAATTAAATAATCATTTGAATTCTCCCTGCAACAATCTCAGTTTCAAATAGCTAAATGCTCAAAAATCACAGAAATACATGAAATAATCTCCTTTTACTACTATGGCTAAGCTCATAATGATAAGTGAATAATAATAATGCTACATTCTCTACCATGCTGCAAAACCAATCCTCTGAGATTCCAAGCGAATGCTAAGCCGGTAACATTGGAAGGTAACATCAGTAAAAAGCCCAAGAAGTATCGATTATCCAAATCCAATGCCTATTTCGAAGCACCATTTGGCAGATCGGCAGCTTTACTGCCTGATGGGTTCAGCTCATCCCATGCTTCAATCCAAGTGACCATGGCATCTGCAAGCTTGTCGAAGTATTCGTCGACGCCAGCAAGTTTTGCTTTAACTTGCTTGGAGAGTTCAATGTAGCATTCCTGCACCGTGGTGCATTCTTTTGGAAGTTTAACAGCTTGGAAAAAGGGTATCAGTTCCTCTTGCCAATAGATTCCCTTGTATTCCTTCTTCAGGTTTACAAATGGGTTGCTCGCTTTGCTGTGCCAAATGTAGGGCAGTCCCGTCTTCACTCCAAATCCAAGATGGTCGCAAATTACCTAATACACAAGATCCAACGCTCCAAATATGTCAGCTTTGATTGAGGTATTGCAAAACATGGGAAACAAGAATGAAAATGAAAGAGAATCAGCTGGTTATGGGGGGATGTCAACGTACCTTCATGCACCAACCAGCCCACATATCGTCGTAGCGTCCAATTGGCTGACCATCACCCATGAGACCGAAATACATTGCTGGGCCGATGAGCTTACGGTCAAATGCCAGATTCATGCCACACATGGGGAAGAGGGTTGACTTTGGAATAGTCAAGACTGCATCAACATACCTAAGGGATAGCTAAAACAATCAGCTTATGATTAAAAAAACAACTCTAGTGTAATTCAATCAGTTTATACCTTGTATTTCTCTCAAGGGGCTTCACAAGCTGTGTGGGTGCATCGTAATCCGGGATGTTGAGCCACAGGCCATGAGACACTGCGGTAGCGACACCCTCCCGGAGACTAAATGGATATCCACGCACGAAGTCAGCACCCTCACGGTAAGGGTCGTACAAGGTATTGAAGAAGTTCGGTGTAGACGGGGTCAGAAGGTTCTTGATGTGCTGTTCAAGTGCATTGATGTTCTTGCCTGATGGATCCTTTGCAACCTGCAAGACGAAAACCAAGAACACATCCTCAGATCCATAAGGAACGATCCAGCCACTGACAGAGTCTTAGCTCTAGCTATATGAGATCACTTGCTTGCCTAAATATGTAGCAGATCCATGAGTTTAGTCAACTACATTCGAAAATTCTAAAAGGATTTCTAGTCTCGGGTGAGTTTCCGGACAGATCTACAACCGACGAGTGGAAAGCTTAGCTTTTAAAAGCATGCAAATCTGTAAACACGCCGCTAACATCATGCCCGAAGATGTTATAGCTAAACAAAGAGTTCAAAAATCCAATCATCTAAAATTCAACCAATCCCACTAAAACAGGGTAAGGCAAAACCAACATTCCAGGACGAACAATCTCTACACAGAGAACATTCAAAAACACCCCCAAATTCCACAATGCATATCCCAAATCAGATCAGATCCAAAATCCCGAAACATGGCACAGAAATCCCAATTCAAGAGTGGGGGAAAAACTCACAAAGCAGTCATCATCTATGGTGTAGATATACTTCTTCTTGGAGACCATGTATCCAAAGCACCGGCAAGCAGAATCCTTAAAGGAAATGCAAGAAGCTTTAGGACCCAGAATCCGATTGATATCGTTGCGATTGTAGAGCTCGTAGTCAAAGCCCTCAGGGACCTTGATGACCTTGGAGGGGTCGCCGTCCTGAACAATGATTAGATGGTAAGGCTGGAAAAAGGGCCTCCACATCTCAAGAAAATCAAGGTTTCGGATAGTGGGTATGACGATATCGAGCTCATCTTTGAGCAGGGGAGTCGGAGAAACATTGGAATTGGCCATTTGGGTCGGAATGTGGTACAGAGAGATGGAATGAAACGGGGAGATTAGAGGGTTTGAGCTCGAATTCGATGAGGGGTTGGGGGAGGGTTTTACACTGGACGGGAAAAGGGGAGAGAATCCAATTTATTGACCATCTGTTCTAGATTGTTAAAGTAAACGCATGTTCCTTTGGCATCCGTTCTGTATACGTTCAAAAATTGATTAAATTGCAAATTTAATCTCGCAGTTTAAGAACACTCCCAATAAAAGTATAGAACCTCCAATCACGTTCTCCCTCGTTATATCTTATGCGTTTCCCATTTTCATAACATTCCACAGCCTTGTTGACATTAAACTCTAATTGTTCTTTCAAAATTAGATAATAATAATAATAATAATAATGGAACTACCATATCCTTGCATCATCATATTAAAAAAGTATCTAACTCTGTCGGTCACATGAAGCAACACTCAACAATTGGATCACCAAACCTTGTGCTAAACCCTAAAATTATTGTGTGCTATTAGCATTATAAACTAAATATCACTTTTCATATTGGAGGCTAATACGTAATTTGGTAAGTTAGTGCTTTAAACATTGCAATTAGGGGTGTACATCCGACCCGCTAACCCGAGAACCCAACCCAAATTATTGGTTTAGGTTCAAAATTCAAATTATTGGGTCGACCTGACCCAACCAGAAATCCTTAAAAATAAATAAATAAAATAGGCGCAAGCCCACATAGCCCAAGTCCATGAGTCTACCCCTGCCAATGGCACGTCAGCACTTTGCAGGCTGTCTCTCCGACTCTCTCTTCTCTTTGACCGTGAGTCCAAGACTTTGTCTCCTAGCCTCACACAGTGTTCGTCTTCAACCTCGAGGATAATTAGGTAATTAAAATGAAGTCTCACACACTCACATCACAGCGTTTGTCTTCGTTGTTCGTCATTCAACTCCTCTTTGCTTTCTTTGTGCGCCGTAGTTTGACATCTCAGTTCTCATCTCACTCTTTTCTTGTCTCTATGTGTCGTCGAACGTCGACGTCACTCACCCTTTTATTTCTCCGTTGGACCCTCTTCGTAGTTCACTTTTCTCCGCTTGACACTCGGGTTGTTTCACAACCCGAACCCAACCGAAAAATAGAGGGTTAGGTTGAGTTAGGTTGGGTTGTGAAAAATTTTGGGTTGAGTTTGATTACGGATCTAAGGACCAAACTTTTAAGTTGGTCTAAAAAAAACCTCTCGACCTAATCCAACCGAGAATATACACACTCTACTTGTTGTACTCTCTTGTTTGGGAGGAAAGAAGAAATGGATGGATGTAAACTTGTGGAAGAGGAGGGTTGGTACAGTGAAATCACAGCAGATGGAGGGTGGAGATAGCAAAATGAAAGGGATTAGAATGAGTGAGTGAGATTGCAAAAGAAAAAAAAAAAGAAGGTCACCCTCCCTCTCCATATATCCAAGAGATGGAAGGCAAAGAGGGTTGAGCAGTTTGGTTGGAGTTTGGGAGTGTACACAAAGGGATGATGGGGAATTTGTGGTGGAAAGCTGTGGTACACAAAGGCTTTTTATCCCAATCTCCAGATCAACTCAACTCCTCCTAATGCTAAATCTAGGTAACTTAAAACGTATATACCCATTATGGTCTCTTCAACTCCGGAAGAACGCAATGTTGGGTTGGGTGTTAGGGAACATGGGATAGCTCTTCACAGCCCTACCCCATTACACACAATAAAGGGTCTGGGGTTATTGGAAGAGAGACGAGATGGGGGAAGTTGGTGAGCGGGTTGTATTGTTCTTCTTCACTTTCTGTTCCAAATCAATGTAAAAAAAAAAAACAAAAAGAAAACATACAATTATTCCTCATCACTTTCTCTTCATTCTTTCTTACCATGATCTTTGAGAGTCAGAGAAGCCCTAACAACATGGAAGCACAAGGAATATGGTTCAAATCTGGAGATGGTCTTTCAAAATCTGAAATTTGGGCTAACCAAATACCAACAAAAGAGGCAAAATGTAGAGATGAAAAGGTGTTGCCACCAAATTCAACCCATTTCCACTTGAGAAAAAACAAAGATGAAAAGGAAACGGAAATCGAAGATGGCAAAACCCGATACAGATATTATACTCAAATTTCAAATTAATTACAACCCGCTATTACTTCTTTGATCATCATTGATGCCTGCCTGTATAGATCAACAATCTAGTAAACGCACAAGCCAAATGTATAGTTTCAATCGTGAAAACACAAAAATAAGAAACATCTATTTTATGTGCAATCGTGAAAGCAAATAAGTAAATAAATAAATAATTATAAATGGAAGTATTGATTATATATTTATTTAAAAAAATCAAATAGTTATTAAAGAAAAATATCTGGAGAAGATGAAAAGAGGAGAGTTTTTTATGCAAGCACCATAAGATTCGTATCATAACATAAAGGAAAGAGGTCCTCTACCTTCCGATTGCATTGGGGCCGTAGTTTGACCCACATTACTCTGTTATCAATGTGCACTCTCTCGTGTGTGGTTATCTTTTCGTGTATTGCTTATCCACGAAATCCCCTACGCCGCCCCCGAAAGGCTTACAAAGGCTGAAACAATTGAAGCACTGAGATCACCCAACCAAACCCAGGAAAGAATACTCCCAATCTCAGGACATGTTGCGAATCCCCAAATTTCATCATCCCCCGAATAAGCTTCAACACCCTTCCACTCCTCCTCCTCCTCGAACTCAAAACTTCCCCACTTCCCCAAATCTTCCGTTCCTCAAGCAATGTTGCACAATCTCCCGCCGTAAGCTCACCGTTGGAAGCAATTCCCTCTTGCTTCTTCTCTTTGGCTCTCAGATTCTAGACCCATTTTACAACTCCTCCAAAGCAGAGGCTGAAGAAATCTTGGGTGAAAATGAGCAAGAATTACAGAGATCAGAGAGTTCCAACGACGTCCCTCCTCCTTGCACAGAAAAGAGCCCCACCAAGCGTGCATTTCTTGATATCTCCATTGATGGAGAGCCTGCTGGTCGCATTATCATTGGCCTTTATGGCAATGACGCTCCTGCAGGAGTTGCTAGATTCAGTAACCTTGTGAGCGGAGCTGCAGGGGTTTCTTACAGAAGAAAAGACTTTGTGAAGATCACATCAAACTATGTTCAAAACAGTGGAGTGAGATCTTATGGCGTGGATGTTGAGCTTGCAAAGAGGACAGGGGGGAATGAGTTAGCATCAGAAACTCTTAAAGATGAATGGGCGAGTGTCAACGAGAAGTGCCCTGGTATTAAGAACTTGGCTGGAACTGTGGGAATCATTGTGAGAGACCCTTTGAAACCACCACCCAAGTTGAAGTTGGTAGCCCGAAAAGGGAAACTGGAGGTGGATCAGGAAGAGGTCGGAACTGAACCGAATGGGACCGAGTTCACGATTTCTGTCAAGGATTCGCCAGAGCTGGACAATTCAACCCTGGTGATTGGAACAGTTTTGGAAGGGATGCAGGTTGCGGAAAGGATTGCTCAAGTGAAGACAGTGAAAGACAACACTACTTCTCCTTACTTCAGGTAAACTTCATATTTGCTAACATAAATTTATGGGTTTGGTATGAAATGAAGTAGGACTTGATAGTGTGAGGTCTGGTTTGATGAACAGGGTGGCAAAGCTAATAGGAGATAAGAGAGCTGTTGTTGCAGAAAGAGGCTTCAACCGCCCTTATTCAAAAGTGGTCGTCACAAACTGTGGGTTGCTAGAGCTAGAGCAATGACATGGTCGTGCTCCCAGTTTTGCCCTTTTCTAAGTTCAACTATGCCCTTTACGAATGAAAGAGGTATTTTATGTCATACCAAAAATTCGAAATATATTATCTCATATGCTCATAAGGTTGATTCATCGTATAATTTACGAGAGACCATGTTTCAAATTAATAGCCCTTCACTTTGCCACTCTTAACTTCAATAGAAGCAACCTCAAAAAATTACTTTACACCATTAGAAAATCCCATAACTAGTTATAGAGATAATGATATGACAGCAGAGATATCATTGTAGAAGGAACTCAATTGGGGAAGGCATGACATGAAAAACCCATCTCCAAAGGGTGCATGTATTCCATACCTTAGAAGAGGCAGCAATTTAATCCCGGAAGCTCTGTCAAGTTTACATGTGACGAAGGCTAGCGCTTGGCGGTGTTCTCATTAGAAAGACCACTTTTCAATTTCTTTGCAGAAGATGTGAATAGATTTGGAACCGATCTAATGGGGTCATCAACCTGGAAAAGGAAACAGAGTTTTGCAATGATTTCCTCGAGATGAGATGAAAGTCACAGAAAATCTCTAATATTGATAGAGTCAACATCTGCATTGCTCCAAAATATAACCAGAAGTTCTTTACGTACCTTAATAAGAGAACCCGATGGAGAGCTCTTAGGTGAATGTGGCGAAGAGCTTTTTTCACGCTGTAAAGCAGTTAGGGTTTGTTTCCATCCAGGTGCCGCATTTAGTGTGGCAATCCAGGAGCAAAAATGCCTGTGCCGCCTGATTGGATCGAACTCCATTATAACACCCATTGGTGCACCCTTGGGATAATCCTCTAATATGATAAAAGTAATGAATCTGGTTTAATCTTATGACTCCGGAATGACAACAGAAAGAATCTAGCATTTGATACGTTAAGCTAATGTTCAGCTCCTGCTTTCATCTTCTCAACAATTAACAAACTAACAGAAGAAAAGAAGAGAAAAGAACAGCGGCAAAAAACCTGGCGGAGGACGGGGATGATGCGGAATTTGAGTTAGGAAGGACCTTCTGCATTCTGAAACAGCTTGTCCACCATGGTATCGAACCTCTTCTCTGAATCTTGCGTCATAGATTGATTCCAGGAGCGTTAAACTTAGTATCAATCGGTCTGCTCTCCGACTCCGCCCTCCTCACCCAAACTAGAGTAATTGATCAGAGCTACAGTACAAAATTTAATTTTAAAATCTTTTTAATAATAGAACCCCGCCAAATCTCTCAATATTTTGAATCACACAAAAATATCATTTTAATTAAAAAAAAATGGTAAACCCATTTAAGAAAACAGTTATACGAATTCAAAGGGTATACCATTGTTGTGGCTGACCACCAAAGCCTCTCACTTTCTCCCACGTCTCTCTCCACTTCCAACTACGCTTCACTTCCTCTATTTAACCCTTTTTCAAATCCTTTCATTAATTCTGTAACCTCCATAATACAAGACTACAATGGCTTCCCTCCTCTCTTCTGCTTTCTTCCTCCTCTTTCTGTTCTTCCACTTCTTCTCTGCAACTTGCACTGAATTCCTCGTCGGTGATGAACATGGGTGGGCTGTCCCTCAGCATAAACACGCTGATAGATACAATAAATGGGCCTCCCATAACAGATTCAACGTTGATGACACCCTCCGTAAGTGCATCTTTTTCTTTTTTTGGTGTTGTTGTTTTGAGAGAATGCTAATGCAGTTCTTGAGGATGTCAGATTTCAAGTTCGAGAAAGATTCAGTGATGGAGGTGACAGAGGAAGAGTACAAGCAATGCCTTTCTTCGAAGCCTCTGTTGTACAACAACAATGGCGACGCAGTGGTGAGAGTTGAGAGAGCAGGGCTGTTCTATTTCATAAGTGGAGTTTCAGGGCACTGTGAGAAAGGGCAGAGGATGATAATCAAAGTGTTGGAACCGCTCAGCCCTCCGCAGCCACCCACTGCTCCGCCCCAAAACAACAACACCCCACTCTCTGTATCATCTCCAATGCTTGCACTTTTCTTCATGTTCTTTGTTTCCTTTCTGTTCATTTGAATCGTTTGTGATGAATTCCGTGTTGGGTCTCTTTTAGAATCAACTCTTTGTTTTATCTTTTTCTTTGGATCAGACCGTGTCATTGATTTATATTTGCATAACTTTTTTCGTCGTTATGAATGGATTGCTGACTTCTGGTTTGGTTTGTTTGCTGCATTCAGTATGTCAACAACATTAATGTGTGAAGCTTCAGAGAGTTATGATCCTTTCCGTGGATATCCATGCAATCAACCTTAACATCTCTAAGACCATCCGCACCCAATAGAAAATATTTTATACTTTTGTAAAGGTTTACAGTTTAAATGGATAACAACGATAAAGGTTTTTACTCATACATGGTTAAAAGTATAAACTGATCCTTCCCTTTATAATAAACAAATTCGTGACATTGAGAAATTTTTTTTGTAGGACTTTTAATTTATCATGTTTAGCAATAACATGTATAGGACTTTTATAGGAATTAGTGTCTATTTGATGACCAAAATTTCAAAACATTATATTTTATTTCTTATATTTGAAAAATGATTCTAAATGGCCCAATTCACCATTAGACTAATTTTTTTTTTTTTTTTTTTTAAGTGGTTTTCTAAGAGAAAATAAATTTTTGGAACCAAAAATTAAATTCAAAACTTGATAAGAAACTAAACTGGATGCTTCTAAGACCAAAAAGCATCTTGTTTTTTTGTTTTTTTTCCCAAACATTTGCTTCAATGATTTTACACCATAAAATGAGTAGCCACTAAGTTACAATTCTAATTGGATGCTAATTTTACACCAAACATACAAATGATTAAATCCGAACAATTAAAATTAAAAAAAGACATAACTAAGTAAAGATCCGTTGTTGGTGTAAAAACTCATATAAAATAACAACAGTAACAATAAAAACAAAATGCTGTGGATTAGGCATGTGGGCTGCAACACTTGTATCATCACATGTAAAAGCAAGCAGGGCCTAAGGCTACAGCATGTCTGAGCAAATTGGGAGACATCAGGCCGAAGTAGATGCAAGTCTTCATCAGAATGTAACACTTTAGACAGACAAATGGTAAGCATATATCACCTCACCATCCAAACTCACACAATGCCTCTTATTTTACTTCTCTTTCTCGCCTATACATACTCACACACACTTTGTAACATCAATTATCATCTAAAAAATTTATTACTATTTCAAAAGCTGATAATTTATGCCAACTCTAAAATGGTTAAACCCCAAAAAGAACAGAATTCGACAATAATGAATAAGCCTAAAGGGCCATCAGCATTAGCAGGGAATTTTCTTTTCTTTTGGGTGGGGGTACAGAACATGGTGAAAAGTCTATATTAATTGGCGCAATGATGGTATAATGAAGCAGGGCTTGCCACCATCTTTTGAAGAATGATTGATTAGATCCAAAAAAAAAAAAAAAAAA